TCTTCGGATCTGTAAATGGTTACAGAAGTCTTCCCCAATATTTCCTAAATACGTCTTCTAAATCAAGGAAACAACACTGATACAGTACTACTAACTAGTCCATACATCTCTTGTCAGATATTGATAGTTGGTTTACTAAGAATGTGTGTGTCCTTGTCCCTGTCCCCATCTTGGACTGGGACCTAATTCAAGTTCAAGGTCATATATTCACACCAATTTGGCAGGGCTTTAATTGAGACACTTTCTCCATCGTCCTTGGCTTTGAATGACTTAGACACTTTTGAAAAGTATTGGCCAGTGACTTTGTAGAATAGCCCTGGTCTGGATTGACTTAGTTTGGGCTGAGCCTTTCTCATGATTCAATTCCAGTTGTGGACTTTTGGCAGGAAGACCATAGAACTGATGCCGTGTTTTCAGTGCGTCATACCAAGAGGCACCTGGTACCTCTTTGTGTCCTCACTGGGGATGTTCTCATGGTGAAGGTAGTGTTTCCACTGTAAAAGTGCTAGGCTTCCTCTTGTTGTCATTGATAAGCAGTTTGGGCTGAGTACGCATCTTTTGGAAGGAGTTTTGATGGTACATTGTTGTTGTTGTTTTGTTTTGTTTTTTTTTGTTTTTGTTTTTGTTTTTAATTTGTGTGTGAGTGTACCGTCAAATCAGATCTGACTGGTACAGGAGGAGATTGTCCCTCCTTTTCCCGGCAGAGCATCTGGTGGATTCGAACCATGTGCCTGTGGGATTGTAGTTGCAGCTTCTTGCCACTAGGCCACCAGAGCTCCCCTGATGGTACATTGTTTAAAGCTCTTAAAATGCGAACCAAAAGGTCTGTGGTTCAAACCCACCACTCAAGAGAAGCCCACCACCAAAGGCACGGTGCTTCCATAAAGATGGGCAACTGGGGCATTTCTGCTGTGTCCTGTGGGGTTAGTTAGTAGGAGTCAAAATCAACAGCATTAACTTTGGGTGTTTTGTTGTGGGTTTTTTTTGTTTGTTTTGTTTTTTAATTTTTGTTTGGCTTTGGCTTTGGGAGGGAGGAGAGGAGGCAGCATAAAGCTCCCCATATGATTCTAGTGTTGGCACTAGAGTTGAGAGAGAAGAGGGCAAAAGAGTTGAGATTATAGGGTGGTCCCGGAGTTTTTGGTTGGGAACTCGCTTCAGCATAGGAGTAAAGCTGGATGCCCAGGCTGAGCAAGAGATCACCGTGTCCTTGGGAAAGTGGAGAAGCTTTGAATATTCACTGTTGGGAGATAAGGGCCTGAAGGAAGGTCTCGGAGCTGGGTAGAAGACAGTCCAACAGCATGAATTTGTAGTGAGCCATGTGTGCACAGCTTCTGTCACTTTCCTGCGGTGCGCAGAGCCCTGGGAGCTGAAGTTGAGGAAGTTATCAGTAAAGGACATCAGAGCTGGTTTCCGGGAGCACCCAGCACTCAGCATGCTGTGCCGAGGAGAGACGTGATGACTTCAGCAGGATGAAAAGGGCAGTGTTTGGAGGTGTGGGGAGCTTACTGAGAAGGTGAGGAAGCAGGGAGGTGGCAGAGGAGATGCTGTGGTCTGAGAGACAGGATGCTGACGTGGAACAGGCCAAGCAAAGGTGCAGTTCCAGTCTCCATGGGTCATGAACACTGAGGAAGGGGAAACCGAGTCAAGAGCAGACTAGCACGACTGCGCGTACTGGATCAGTGTGGAGCCTTCACTGAGGATCTAAGCAAATGTTGCTGCTGAAGTAGTTCTAGAGCTTTTCTGGCCATCTTTCTTCGATACTGTTTAGACTTACTTTCTGTAAATGTTTTTTATCAACTTGTCGTGACGTTTCCACTTAGATAACACAAAATCAGAATCTGCATTTTAATGAAATCCCCCTGCGAGTCTGTGAGAATTTGTAGTCTTTTTTTTGGAAGAGGTTAAGAGGGAGGGAGAGATTACAGCCCTGATCTAACTACTGGACTGTTGAAGGTTGGCAGTTCAAATCCATGTACTGAGGGGCAGGAATCACAAAAATAGGGGAAATAGACTTAGAAAACTGTCTGTTTAAATATGAGTGTAATCTCATCAGAACTGCTAACCAGTTACACAGTTGGTGATTATTTTTCATTTTTAACAGTCATAATGAACATTTTAATATGTTAAATTACCTTGTATCTCTATTGTTGTATTTGTCTTGCACATTTTTAAAAAACAAATGCAAAGTATAGATTGTAAAAATATTCCCAGAAGTCAGGAATAGAGACAAGAAGTAAAGTGGTCTGCACAATTTCAAGAAGAGGCAGGGGCAGGTGAAACCACCTGTCTTATTCTTCCTGTAGGAAAAAGTGTGAGGTCACTGAGAATTAGGCTGTAGATTCAGCACAGGGTAACTCACAACCAGACTGCCTTTGAAACCCCTGAATTGACCAGACAGGACCGTAGAGTAGGGATGATGCCAGTCGTGAAGCTGGCCACGCTCTCTTCAGGTGACGCCAGGTACAATAGTTTGCCCCATTGTGCTGAGCATCTGCTCAGGAGGTAAGATGACCAGTCCCTCCCTCCCCAGGCTTAACCACTTTAAGTCTTGACCAGGCATTTGATTTGGTGAATGAAACCACTTAGAAGGATGAAAATAAGGCCCAGACCCTGTCTTGAGGAATTCCCAGTATTAAAATAGTCTAGTTGGGGAGAGGGGTGGGGGAGGTGAGCCAAAAGATAGGGGAGAGAACTCAGCAGCAGACCCCACCCACCGTGGCTCCATCCCCGCTCCCAGCCACCCTGTGGGGCAGAGTGGACCTGCCCTGTGGCCTTCCCGAGGCTGGGATTGCGGAAGCACACAGCCACATCTTTCCTCAAGTTGCAGCTGGTGGGTTTAAAACACCAGCCTTTTGCTTGGCAGTACTTGGACTGCTACATCCGCAGAGCTCTTTCTACCAAGAGTTAGAGGGAGGAAGAAGGTGAGTCACAGACAGCGCCAAAGACAGATTTTAAAAGGTGCAGTGGCTCACCTACCACTGCGAGCTCACCTAGTACTGAAGGTGGGATTGTGGCAAATGGTGACTCCCAAAAGCCACTGACTACGAGGTGTGGAAGCCAAGTCTCGGGATTAGAGGGGGGGACTCGGGAGCAACCAGGGAAAAAATGACGGATACTGGCAAGCGTTGTAGGAGGTGGCATTGGGGAGTGGGGCACAGCTGAGAGGAGCTTATGGAGTCTAGAGAGCGCTTATTTGATTTTGTTAATGGGAATCTTACTGGTGCTTGAAAACTCAGAGGGGACAAATCTGGTGAGCAGATGAATACATAAGGAGATGAGGTAACAGCAGGGCTTCTGCTCAGTTCACCCCCAGCTGTGAACTTGCATTTCCACCCCAGACACGCAGAATCAGAATCTACATTTTAACAAGATCCCCTGGGGCTCTATAAGAATTTGGAATATTTTTCTGTAAGGGGCTGAGGGCCAAAAGAAGGGCTAGGTGGAGCCTTTGTGAGCAGCTAAACATTAGCAGTTCAAATCCACTAGCCAAACCATAGGAGTAAGATAGATAGGTTTTCTCCCCGCATAATGAAGATTTCCAGCCCCCTGTGTCAGCAGCAACTGTGTTTTAAGAGTTAGGTAACTGAAACAACTATGAGATACCATCTCACTCCAGTAAGAATAGCAAAAGTTTAACAGAATCGCAAACAACAAATGCTGGCGAGGTTGTGGAGAAACTGGAACACTTACTGTTGCTGGGAGTGTAAAATATTGAAGCCACTGTGGAAGGTGGTGTGGCGCTTTCTCAAAAAGTTACAAATAGAGATACCATTTGACCCAGCAATTCCACTACTTGCACTATATCCCAAAGAAACCAAAACCACCACCCAAGCAGATATATGCACACCCATGTTTATCACGGCTTTGTTCACAATAGCAAAGAGTTGGAAACAACCTAAGTGCCCATCAACAAATGAATAGTTAGAGAAGCTGTGGTGTATTCACACAATGGAATACTACACTGCATTGAAAAACAAGGAACTCATGCAATATTATTCAAAATGGATGACCCTGGAGGACATTATGCTGAGTGAAGTATCTCCGTCACAAAAGGGCAAATATTACATAGTGCCACTGTTGTAAAATGGGACTGACATCAGGGTTGAGGGAAGACAGAAAAGGAGGGGAGGAATGATATATATTGAATTGAAACAGGTGAGGGAGAGAACTGTTTAAAAGGGATATATGATTAGGTATTGTCATGACAGGAGTCCAGAACGAAGGCTGGACTGAAGTGGAGTGAACTTGGAGGGAGGGATTGTATAACAATGAAAGAGTTTTTCTTTGACTGGAACAGCGAACTGGAGGGGAGAGGTAGGCAGGGAGAAAAGTGCAACAGTGAATTCTTGGAAATGCAAAATCTCTCTAAATTTTCATTAAAATTAATAATAAAAATGAAGAAAGATTACATAACACAAATGTACATGCATGAAACACAGTGTGTATGATAAAAATATTGATATGGGTAATAAATATTAATTAAAAATAAAATTTGCTATTAATCTGCTTTTAATCCTGGAACAAAAATATTGTAAACACAAAGTTCAAAGAAAATTCCTATTATTTCAATTTAAAAAAAAAAAAAAAGTTGGGTAGCTGCTCCCATCCCTCCATGTTGGTCATAAATCCAGCGGCACCTGCTCACGCCCGCTTGGCTCCTCTCTGCTCTTGTGCCTTCCTCCCCCACCCCTGCCCACCCTGGGATCTCTTCCCACCCTCATCTTCATCTCCCACCCAAGCGTCACTTGTCAGGGGCTGTCCACACCCAGAGTCCTCGCAGCTCCTCCTCCGTGATGTCCCCCCACTGGAGGAGGAATTGGGGTATTGGGGAGCCTTTTCCCTGTCCACTATGCGGGGGTTCCACACCTACATCTGAGGGTGCGGTGGGGCTGGCCCAACCCTGCATGTTGACAAGGTTCTGTAGAGAAAAACATTCTTAACAAATGGAGGTATGTTCTGTTTTTTAAAAATTCGTGTTTTCCTTCTTGTCCCAAAACTAGGCTACAGAAGAAGTTTCCAAAAACTTGGTTGCCATGAAAGAAATCCTATATGGCACCAACGAGAAGGAGCCTCAGACGGAAGCTGTGGCCCAGCTCGCGCAAGAACTGTACAACAGCGGCCTCCTCGGCACCCTGGTCGCCGACCTACAGCTCATTGACTTTGAGGTAAGAGACACGTTTCCCATTTTTCCAAAACAGAACCAGACTGGAGTTCGTTTTCCTGCATTTCTCTCCTTGGATGTGTTGTAACGTTTCTGTAGAGCCCCCTGGACTCAGAGCAGGAGCAAGAACCCCAGGGCCTCAGGCCCGTTCCAGGGCACCTACCCCCAGTTTCACAGGGTTGTATGTGGGATTTCTGAGCTGATCATTATAACTTTTTATTTAAGTAATGTTTTTAAAAAAGTGTTAAATGTAGAGTACAGTAATGTTTTGCATCCTATCCATACTCCCTGACTCTTAATAATCTAATTGTAATAACAAATAACCTTAAGGAGAGGATGACAGAAAGTGAGGATTTGGGAGGTTGACAGGTATTAGAGAACACCCCGTGTGGGAGGAAACCTGTGAGACTCAGGACTCCCCAGAGGTGTCCTCTGTTTCCAGGATCCACACGCTTCCCCGCTGATAACAGGGTGCAGTTTTAGCATTTTTCTATCATTTGTTCTAATGAGAAATATTTCTGTTTTCGGTCTCTGAAAGGTGTCTTCCTCTCAGATTTTGGCATTGGCAGGTTTGCTGTGTCTGTTGATTTTACCTGTTAAAAGGCCACAACAGCAGAGACCATAGGCCTCGCCTGGCCCAGTGTCCGTTGCTCACAGTGCTTTTAGATGTGGTGTTCACTTGGCACCTGTGGACCTAACCTCAGCCACGTTCTTGGTCTGTGGTTCCTCTAAGGTGGGAATCATGGGGCCTCCACTGACGGCACAGCGTGCTTCCCTCCTACAGCCAGCTGTGTACAGGTGCCCTTCCTGCCAGGACCTGGTAGGTGTTTGCGATTGTTGTCCAAGCTTCTACAACTGGACCAGGCTGTATTAAGTCACAGTAAATCTCGCCGTAAGAAATGGCCCTGAACAGCAGTCTGAATGGCCCCCAGCTCAGTCTGGCAGCAGCAGTGCTGGCAGCGAGTCTGTGTGACCAGGGAAGTCATCTCTCTGCCTCTCAATCGTGGTCTTACTCTGTGTTCATCAGCCTGAGTGGTGGCTAGATGTCTGGTCAGATGCCTGAACAACAGGTCCTTGTTACAGAGAGAAAATGATGGACATGTAATGAAATGTAAGTTTGAGGAGAAGCATAGGGTTGGAGCATACAGGTAATTTGAATGTTGTTAGGTGCCTGCGACCCTGTGCACAGTAGGTCTGAACCCTGCCCTATCCTGAGCCAATTTCACGGTCTCCAACACACCAGCTCCTATTACCCCAGTCAGTGTGTCACACTATTTCATCCAGGGTCTCTCTCTCCTGCATTGTCCCTCCTTCCATGCTTCCAAGCAATATTAATAACAAAATATTTTATCAAGAGAGAAACCGAAATATTACCCCTATCCTACTGCAGAGCAAATAGAGGAGCTAAGGTATCTTAGTGTCCATAACTGATTTCATCTTTTTAATAGTGTTGTTATTCAATTCAAGCAGTAGTTTTTCTTTCTTCTGACAAGTTGGGTATGGGCTGAAACATCTAGCTCCTCCTGTGTCAGCCCCACTCGCCCTGCTTCCCACCTGGACACAGAATTTAGCATTTACTTTGAACTTTGGAGACAAAACCACGTGTTCTTGAGATTAATTCTTAGACACTGCCATTACTGTACCGGCCGTGTTGATCTCCTGTATGCGCTGCAGGCTGGGCGCTGGGGAGCCAGCGTTCCCTCACTCCTGCCGGCGGCCGTTCCAGGCATGTCTTAGGGTCAGTTTTCCCATCTGCTTAATTTCTCCTGTACCTTTCTGGTTTTACGTTCCCTACATGGCAGCCGTGCGCCTCTGTTTGATAAGATGATGGCATAGTTAAATTCTCATCTCCAAACTGCTGCCCCCCGAGAGAACTCAACGTTTTCATTATTAATCCACGTAAAGTTTAAGTTTTTCCTGTTAGACCCAGTTAAAGGGGAGAGAGTCAACTTGACATTCCAGCTAAGCTTCTTCCAGAATTCCTTCATTGTTACTGCACGTGCAGAGATAGTAACTGTTCGCTTCCCTTCTCCTTCAACATAAAAGGAAAGTGGAGGGTGCAGCTTGAGCGAGAATCTTATTTGAAACGGCTTGTTCCATTTAGGTGAATTCAAACCTCTGCGTTGTAAGTTTATTATAGGTTTCCTTGTTCATATCTGAGTCAGCATGAGATTTTTTTTTAAAGTTAGAAATGGTGAAAGTTGTATATGAAATGTAGTGAGATGTTACTTTTACACATTACTCGTGTTAACAATAGAATTTGGAAGTATAAATGGAGAAAAAGAAGATATTAGTGTCGGAATGTTTTCAAGTCAGATATTCAGTCATCGGTATAAATATGCAGTGCTTTTTTGTGAGTTTATTTGGGAGGGTGGGTCGGCATTTGTGTCTGCTCAGTCAGGTAAAGATTTTAATGATTTTATTCCTAATAGGGCAAAAAAGACGTGGCTCAAATTTTCAACAATATTCTCAGAAGACAAATTGGTACAAGAACTCCTACTGTTGAATACATCTGCACCCAACAGAATATTTTGTTCATGTTATTGAAAGGGTACGTACAATGTATTAACGTTTATGTACTTAGTGCAGACGTCTTGTGAACTGTTGTGTTAGCAGAGCTAGAATGGTGACAGCCATTTGGCCTGCTTCTTCTTCACAGATCTTTAACATACTCCCTGCCTGCAAATTCAGCTTTTACGCTATTGAATGAACATTGCCCAACAAATGAGAGTTTAACATTTAGGTGACTTGTGAGATGGAGAATTCACAAAGCAAATCTGACTGATAGGGGCCTGGGGGGGGGGGAGGTGAGAGGGATGTGTCCAGGGTCGGTGAGCCCCAGGGACTCCCGGTGAACACCTTTGTCTGAGTGCATTCTGCGTCCTCTGTGAGATTGAGGGGTGGGGGTGTGACTGGCATGGGGGTTGACATGAATCAGCTTGCTCTCTGCCTTGTCCCAGAGCTTCCACTCAGATCCTATCTGTGCTTTACACTTCGCCAAGTTCATGCTTGTTGAGACAAAGCAGGAGTGTGGGGAGTGCATTTGCTGTGCTCAGGTGGCTGTCTCCTGTTCCTGCCCGTCAGAGGTCCTAGACGCTGCTTGAATCCATCCAGAGTTACCTGTGTGCACAGGGAGTGGCAGGGCGGTGTGTGCTCAGAGCAGTCTCTGTGGTTTTTTTTAAAGCCACTGCTTTTAAAATGAAAAATATAAAGCCACTACTGCTTTTTCCATAGAAACAAAACCTCTAGAAATTGGTGGTGGTGGTGGTTTATGATTTTGATGTTATTTGTGGCAGTGGATCTGAACCAACTTTCCAGTGGGCTTTCAGAGGCAGTTATTGCACAGGAGGAGATTGTCCATCTATCTTCCATTGAGCAGTTGGGATTTGAACAGCATGCCTTTGAGCTGTGGTGCTGGAGAAGAGTATTGAGAATACCATGGACTGCTAGGAAAACAAACAGATTTGTCCTGGAGAGGGTTAAACGGGGTGGCTCCTTGGAGGCAAGGATTCTGAGGCTCTGTCTAACTTACTTTGGACATGTTGTGAGGAGAGACCGGTCCTTAGAGAGGGACATCATGCTTGGGAGGGTGGAGGGACGGCGCAGGAGAGGAAGGCCCTCTATGAGGTGGATTGATTCAGTGACTGGGATAATTGGGATGGGAGTGTCAGAGACAGTGCGATTGGCACAGGACAGAGCGGAGTTTAGGGCTGTTGTACATAGGGTCGCTATGAGTTGCAGGCGACTTGACGGCACATAACAACAACAGCCTTTGGGATTGCAGTGCAGCTTCTTAGCACTAGGCCACCAGTACTCCCTTGTTCTTAATTCACTGGGCCACTAGTGCCATCTAAGTTAGTTTAACACGTACTTAGCCAGGAATACAATATGAACACTTTTAAACACCATTAAGTAAGACTTGAGAAAAGTGCTCGTCTGAGCTAGCACAAGCAGAGTCCCCAGTGAGGGAGGAGAGGCACAGAGGTGCAGCTGCTGTGGGACCCTGCAGGGGCCACCCTCTTCTCTCCACCCTTCCTTCAGCTTCTATTATGAATACAGACACACACACGCTGAAGACAGACAGGCACACGCTGAAGACAGACAGGCGCACGCTGAAGACACGCGCACGCTGAAGACACGCGCACGCTGAAGACAGACACGCACACGCACCTAGAATTGGAGGGACTAATATCCCCGTCAGCAGCTTCCGCAGCTCTTAAGTCTGCATCCTTCCTCTCGCTGCCACCCTACAGGGAACAGCACATCTGTACGTGACAGGGGCGGTTCCTTCACGGAGCCACGAGCCTGGCGTGATTCAGTGTCCAGCACGGTTTCCTGTGCCCTTCATGTCCACACCCCGTCATTGGACAGTCACTGTAGCACCGCTCTGAACCAGCCCTGCAGCTGCTCTGGCGTGGACTCTTCACTGCCTGGTCCTGTCACACATACACCGCCCCCCGCCTCCTTTTTAACATTGGTGAACAGTTAGTCCTTTACAGAAAAATCACCTTCTGGATTTGCATCCCCGTGGGTTCATTTAATATGCTCCTCTAGCCCCTTATTTCTTTAAATTGGGAATTAGACCTAGAGTTCGATCAAGTTATCCTTGCTTTTTCGTGGGGCTGGGCAGAATTCTTTCTGTGCTGTCTCCAGGGTCGGGTTGTGCGTTTCCTGTTGTCCCACTGGTTGTCGCACTGGTCATAGTGATTCCCTTCAGTGCATTCAGCTTCTGTCAGTGTAATCTGTCTGTTAGAAAGTGCCCATCAACTGCCACCTCATGGCTTCGGCATCACCTAGATTCAGAATTTCTAAAGGTCGTCCATATATTAAATGTGTTGCTTCTATGTAGAAAAAGCCTTTCCACACCAATCATTGAGTTATCCCAAGAGACAACCTCTCAACCTCTCTGTGGAAAAGGACTAAATGCTGGCTTCTTCCTGTCTGTCACATTTTTCTGTTATCAGTTGGTGTCTAGTCAATTGTCTTCCCTTGGAGACCAGTGGTGACTCATGTGTTGCAGACTCAAGCGTGTGTGCCTCACGGCCCCATGTTGGCCTGCTGGCCATATTCCCCAGGGTGGCACCTCAAGCCTGTGTCAGAATCCTGTTATCTTTGGTCGCTTCCTGGCTCTAGATAACCTTTGTTTGTTTTGTACATTTGGTGCCTCAGGCTTGGAAACAGGTCAAGGAGCCTTTGTACATTTTGTGCTTTTGTTAATTAATTTGTTGAGACTATTTTGTGTAATCATCTGCTTAAGCTATAAAGACTTTGATGTAGCTATTTGAGGGTGGGGAGTTAACAGTGGTGGCACAGCGATTAAAGTGCTTGGCTGCTAACCCAAAGGTCAGTGAGAAGAACTCACCAGCTGACAGGCAGAACAAGTGGCAGTCTGCTTTCGTAGACCTTACAGCTGGGGGACCGTGTGGTTTCACTCTGTCCCCTGGGGTCACTCTGAGTCAAGAGTTCACTCAGGCAGTAGGTTGATTTGGGGTTTTATTCTGCCAGTGAAAAGGAAAACACTGAGGTTGTCCAGAATTTCATTTTCCTTGGTTCTCTGATCAGCAACTATGGAAGCAGTTTTCAGGAAACCTTGACATGTTGGGCATCTCTGCTGCAGAAGACCTCTTTAGAGTGTACAGGAGCAAAACTCACCTGGAGAGCGAAGCTGAGCCTGACCGAAACCATGGCTTCTGTAGCCATCTCATGCACGTTTTACTTGATAAGAAATAAGAAAAATAAAGACTGAAGAGTTGATGCTTTTAAATTACAGCATTGGTGAAGAATAGTAAGTATGTTGTGCACTTCCCGAAGAATGAAGAAATCGGTCTTGAAAGCAATTCAGCCAAAGTGCTCCTTAGAAGCCAGGATAGAGGAAGACCTTCAGCAGGTTGGGTTGGTGCAGGGGCTGCAGCAGTAGGCTCACGGTGATTGTGAGGAGGGGTAGGATCGAGCGGGATCTGACGCTCTTGGCCATGTGGTCGCTGTGCATGTGCATCTACCCAGTGTTGGCTGTCAGCGCTTGCCAGTGAGGAACCGTGGGGGTGCGGGATCTAAGCACCCTCAGCTGCCACTCGGTGTAGGAAGGCAGGCTTGCTCTTCACAATGTCTGACGTCCAAGTGTCGTTAGCCTAAGCAGATGGTTACAGTGTAGGACTGTGGTACCAGCTGATGCACAAGAGACAGGTGTGGAGAGTGCTTGGTACCATCGAGGAGATGCAGGGCATGGCGTTCATCTGTCACGTGTTCAAGGCTGCAGCTATGGGAAGAGACCGCCCATCTTCCATGGAGCAGTTGGTGGATTTGAACTGCTGGTATTTCCATTAGCACTCCACACGTAATGCACTAAGCGAGCAGAGCACAGCCTTTGACGCTGTGAGACAGTTCTGCTCTGTCCTGTGACATCACTGGGAGTTGGAATTAGCTCAGTGACAACAGGTTTGGCTTTTGTTATGTTTGTATGCATTTAAAATTGTCTTTTTGCTGGTGTCGCACTGCATTTGATTGCAGTAATTTTTCCTGACACGTTAAACGTGAATGTGCTCTCCCCTCCAGAGCTAATGGGTTGTGCAGCATCACTGCTTGCTTTGTGCTCACTGGTTTATGGTTTATTAAGACCAGCTTGTCAAGTCTCTCTCAAAACCTACCCAGCTTGTTATACCAAACCACCTTACCCCTCCCTGTCCTGCTAGCCTCCTGCCTGTGACAGATCATCAGGCATTTGGAGAACAAACATTTTAATCACCCAGGAGCATGGCGGAGATCCTGAGGACAGCACAGGGTAGGACAGGGCCCGTCGTTCCTAGGGTCCCGAGCCTTAGTCAGCTCCCCAGCACTTACCAAGAGCCATGCCACAGTGAGACAAAAGAGTGTTGCTCAGTGACGAGCTTGGGTGTAGACCCAAATAAGAAATCCTGCAGGATCAGTCAGTAAGACAGAGTTATTCCAAGACGGACACTTAAGCTGCCTTAGAAAATGCCAGGGCAAACAGGACATTCTGGGGGCATGTCTCGGTGTGACCAGCAGCAGTGAGGGGTCACCTGGAAGCTTGTGGTGGAGGAGCTGGCATTGTCCCCTGGGGCAGACCTGGACACCTGGCCCACAGCCCTGCCCTCTCTGTTTAGCGCATCCGTGGGATTTATTTGCTAACCTTTCAAAACCAAATTCTTTTCTATTTTCAACTTTTTATTGAATCCATGTTGTTTTAGTAATGAAAGGCATTTTGAATGAGATGGTAAAAACCTCTTCTTTGAAGTAATACAAATTTTGATACACATGGTGTCCCAAGGGGGTCACTGGTGCTGGGGTCGGAGATCTGAGACCTGTTGTTGTAGATGTGCAGGCCCCTTCCCTACCAGATAGTGGCACATGCTAAGAGCTGGGTAGCAGTGCCCAGCAACGTCCCAGAGGTGGCAGATGGAGGTAGGCACTGTGCACCTGGGCCATGGAAGGGCAGAGCGTGGGAGAAGACTGTAAACCTTTGTGGGATCCAGGTGGCGAGTCAGTGCAGCGGTGCGGGGGAAGGGAAGTGCCCCTGGGACGTGTGGAAGGAGCGTTGAGAAGGACTGATGCCTCCGACGGTGGGAGGTTCGGAGCAGACAGGAAGGCCTGGCACGCGCTCCCGGGACAGCGCGAGCAGCCAGTGCAGTGACTGAAGCCGGGTCAGTAACGTCGATGGCTGCAGCAGTGGCTCTGCTGTGTCGGAATGTGAGGACGCCGCTGGGTAGGGCAGGGGTCACCCTTGGGTCGCCGACTCGATGACACCTGACGGCAGCAGTCAGTGCAGCCTCTCCCGGCTGCTGTGAGCATCAGTATTTCCTGCAGTTCTCGGAGTGTTCACACTGAGCAGCTGGCTTGGTGCGTTCTCGGGGCTTGCAGTCCTGTGGGTGAAGTGGTCATCACCTGCGAGAGAGAGGGAGAGAGAGAGAGAGAGAGAGTGTGTGTGTGTGGTGTGTGTCCATTCACCCATCCGTCCCTCAGTGGAAACTCCAGTAGAACTGCTCCCTCTTGCTCTCCCCACCCCCCGCTTAGTCAGGACATGCGTCCGAAAACTCCCTGTTCTAAAGATTTGAGGTGTCCCATGTTGGAGCAACCATGGCTGTTTTTTTCTTTTTTGCAGGTATGAGTCTCCAGAAATAGCTCTAAATTGTGGAATCATGTTACGAGAATGCATCAGGCACGAACCGCTTGCAAAAATCATTTTGTGGTCAGAACAGTTCTACGATTTCTTCAGATATGTGGAGATGTCAACGTTTGACATAGCTTCTGATGCATTTGCTACATTCAAGGTAACACTGGCAACGGTGGTCCAATCCTAAACAGACTTGCGAGTCTTGTCCCTGAGCCCCTCTGCACTCCTGGCCTACACACGCCTGCCCTCTAGTGGGCAGAGAGGCGACTGGTCGCACGTCCAGAAAGGGGTGGACACATTTCAATTGTGAAGTCTTATCTGAAAGACGAAAGTTCTATGTGGTCAAACAATGCTCTAACCCCTAAATTTCCTGTTACGTATAGGATCCAGGTACACACTGTGTCTGACAGCCGCTTTCTGCAACAGTGTTGCTCTGTAATCACTGGTTTGTTCTACACTTGGCTTCAAATACAGAAACATTTAAGACAGAGATGTCCACCTATGTGTGACAGGTCAAGGGGACAGTGGGCTCACTCCCCTGTCTCATCCTGACACCAGAGCGTGTTCTTTGGGGCGGGAAGCAGAACCAGCTGTGCTATTCACAGTACTTTGTATCATCCCCTCCCCTCAAATAGCTGCATAATTTAAAGGAACAAACACTGTGCCTCCATTGCATGACACGCACATTTTTTTTGTTTTAATTGCTAGACTCTGCTATTTAAAGCACATAAATAGAGTGCTGCTTTCACAGTGGGGACAAGCCTTTCTATACTGCATCCCCTTAGATAAAAGGTCCACTCTTCACAGCCTAACTAAGGGAGTATTTCACACTGTTGTTGTAAAAGAGTTGGGACTTAGGACACGAAACGTAGATGACCGTGCTCAGAGACCAGTCACTGTAAGTATGGGCAGTGGCCGTTTTTCTTGGGAACACTCAGCTTGATGGTTGCAAAGAGGCTTGGCCATGGGTAAAATAAGTACCTCAGAGGAAACAATTGCCCTGAAGGTGGGTGAAAGCCAGGGCCTGACAGGGAGTTTTATGCTGAAGGAGAATTCAGTCTGAGAAGTACCTGGTGATTTATGTTTCAAAACAAGTAGGAGGAATGCCAGGAGTGTCAGATAAAGTCTCCGGTATTTCTGTGATAGTATATAAGGAAAACAAAGTGAATCTGAGTCTAACAGAATAATGACTATAATGTTTGGGACATCACTGAAACTGGTAGGTTAGAAGAACTCGGTGTTAGAATCCCCAGAGGGAAGAGTATCCCGCTCCGAACAGCAGATCTCTTAGGGTGGAAGGTGCAGTGATGGTGCTTCAAGAAGGGACACGCCTGTTTGAAGGGAAGCTGTGCTCCTGGGGCCCTGGCCTGGGGACAAGGGGGATCCGAGGAGAAAGGAACGACTGTGGTGTGGAGGATGTGCCCTGCCCTGCCCATGTGGTGACATGGTCCCAGCAGATGGTACAGTTGGCTGAGAGGTGTGCAGTCACGTTGCACACAAGCGCACACAGCCCGCATTGACTCTGCTCAGTTTCATCCCAGTTGGAGTGGCTGCTTTAAATTCATTCTCCCGAAAGAGAAACCGATGATGATTGGTTCCCTGTGGGAAAGCAGCCCTGTCGGCTGAAGGGAAGGACAGGACAGTAGTTGCCCCTTGTAGCCCAGGGTTCTGAGCACCAGCCATCAGAGAGACCCTTGGGAGTCCGGATTGTGTGCCCCAGGAATCATGATTATATCGCAAAGAGAAGGCTGATGAACGAGGCACTGAGAGAAAGCGCTCTGGGTACCATGGAGTGGGGCCATGAGAGGGACAGCGTGTGAGAGACACTGTGTGTGCGTCACTAGGACAGTGGAGCCCTAGACCCGCTGAAGTCGCGTTTCCAGCCTCCTGCTCCTCCGTGAGAGGCAGTCCACGCCAGGAGGCTGAAGGCTTGTCTCCACCTCGTCCCAGTCACTTGGCAGAGAGTGTGATGGAAAAGGAAACTCGTGTGGAGAGTGTGACAGGAACCATGTCCCCGGAAAATGTGCTCTCCATACAGACATTTTCAGACACGCGCAGCTCAGCCCTGACCCCAAACAGGAGGGTTCCTCGACCACAACCCTGAACAGGAGAGGGTTCTTCGACCATGACCCTGAACGGGAGAGGTTGCCTCAGCCAGGGCACCTGTAGGGTAGATTAGCTCAGCCGTGACCCCAAACAGGGCAAGTTATTTCAACCACAACCCCATACAGGGGAGTGTTCCTCCACCATGACCCCGAACAGGTGTAGGTTCCTGAAAGGAAGGTGAAGCTGGGGCTCTGAATGTGTCTGAGAACCTCGGTTTGAGTGAGGAGCTAACCTGGGGTCACGTGTGACTGTTCTGTTTTTGAGGATTTAAATGAATGGGAAGGGGTAAGAAGGCCAGCATATATTTCCAGTTTTCCAGGATGAAAGAAGGTCACTTTCACCAGAGAGGCTGTTAGAACCTGGAACTTGATGTTTACTCCTTTGTCAGGTTCTAGAAAGTGTTTTTACAGAGCTGGTTTCTGAGTTGTTGGAAAGGAAACTGGACCTACGAGACAGCATGGCTTCATTAAGATTAAGTTCAGCCTTTCTAATCTCATACATGCCCGCAGATCTCGGTAGGTGAGCCTGCACCTGCATGGGTTCAAATCCCAGCTGCGCCACTCATTTAGCCGCCGTTTCTCACCTATAAAGGGTGGAAAGTCATCTTTATCTGTCTGTATTATTGCGCCTCCACATAGGATTTATGCTGTAAACCACAGTAAAAGTAGCCTTTTGTGGCAGTGACCTGATGCTGTATGTTAGAAATTGTACAGATATATCATCATGAAGCAATTATGAGCTGGATAGGGTTCCATGGTAATAGGTACATGACTCATTGACAGCTATGTCCAAAGGTGCTGGTGCGTAGACGCCGACCTGTGGGAAAGAAAGGTCTAGAGGCCCCCTCAGCCCTGCCTTTGAATGGGTTCATTGACCACGTAGCTCAGGAGTGGCGAAGCCTGCCTCTCCGGCAAGGCAGGCCCCAGGTTAGCTTCCAGGCCACTGCCGTAAAGGGAGTATCGCGGGAAAGTAGGTGTCCTAGGGCTTAGAAGAGGGACAGTTACACTGTGCTGCAGTTTTCTGAGTCTGCGGTAACAAGAGGATAAATGTGAAATATTGTGAGAATTACCAAAATGTGACAGACACACAAAGTGAGCATATAGTGTTGGAGAAATAACACCTGTAATCTTGCTCACTGCAGGTTGCCACAAACCTGTATTTGTTTGAAAAACAACCAAAACCAAACCATCTATGAGGTGTGACAAGCAAGGTGTGCCTGTGTATTTAGTGCCCGTGATGAGAAAGGCAGCGGTGGACTGAAACACAGATCCCTGAAGGGGAGAGTGGCCGGGATGGAACAGGACAGAAGGCAACGTGGAGGACTCAGCACTTGGCCTTGAGGGCCCAGCTGTGTCAGAATGAGCTAAGAGAAAAGGATCATTATCAGACTTGGTTACCACATTTCATGGCTACTGAATGCTCCAACTCTGAAAGTGTAGGTAACTCTGCTGTCACTACAGGGGAGGAGACGGAAGCATTGAGTTGTTGATTCAAAGTCAGACAAGAAGTGGTGGGATAGGCCCCATGGTTAGAGTATGAGGAAGGAGCGGCAGACTGGAGCCCAGGCATTCTGGCAGCAAGAGCGAGCCAGCAAGTCCAGTTCGTCCAGAAAAGTTAAGCATCGTGGTCGTGCTGCAACGTGTGACCCCAGTGTGTCACGTGAAGAGCCTGGTGAGGTCAGAGGGCAGTGCGTGCACATGCTCTGTCCAGGCTCTGCTGCGAGAGGTGCGTGGACAGGTGACTTTCTGAAGACCGGGTGGTGAGGGGGGCCCGAACCCTTTTATTGGAGAGGTGGCTGCCGAGCTGGGGAAGAGAGGACTTAGGTTTGGGAGGGACTCGCTCTCGGAGCGTGGCTTCAGGTCCCTCCTGTTGGGCAGATGTGCTTTCGCTGCGGAGGAACAGCGCTCCAGTGAGAGCTCCAGAGAGGGGTCGCAGCTGGAGGAGTTGGGTTCCTCGCCCCAGTCAGGCATGGGAAGAAAGTGAGTCGAGTAGACGTATCAGGACTCTGAGACTAAGCCTCTGGGTTAGTACTGTTTCTTCAGGGCTTCCGGGGCTGCCTTGTATCTCATCGTCAGGGCCAAACTCACAGACCTTTTATGGGTTTTTTATTAAGCCCGTCCTAAATGTGGCGCTGTATGAGACCGTATTTCGCACACCTAAACATAACATGCATTACTACCTTCTGGGCTGTCTGTCCCTAGGAACCAGTATGCCAAGACAGTTAAGTTTGCCTATTCAGTCCTCAGGTGGCATTTGGGATAAATGAGATATGTCCTGCCTGGCCATTCCTGATACAGTCGGGAAGTCTGCATCCAGCAGATGAAATAACCAAATCTTTGGGATGAGGTGAGAAGCTGTCTTCAACTAGTAGAGGGGGAGGAAAAAAAATTAAAAAAATAAATACATAAACCCAGCCCTGATGTCAGCTTCATGGGCTCAGCCCTGACTGTGTCCTAGACATTGGAGGCAGTAAAACCAGACATGACCTGCATTTATGGAGCTTCCAGCCTCATCACACACAGACCTTGTCACACCTTTGGCCAGTGCGCTAGTGCAGCTGACCATTCGCAAGAACCCCCTGTGTGGTGAGCAGTCAGGCAGAGAGGAAAAGCCCAGGTGAGAACTTCAGAGGAGGATGTTACCGAGAGGGTAGACATAAGCAGTGCTCCTGGGATAAGTCCTCAGGGCAGCTGGCTCCACGCACACTCCACACTGAGCTTCCCTTGGCACAGCTTTTTGGGGTCACTGTCACATTTGAACACATGCCAGGACACACTGTAACCAGAAGGAAAGTTGGCCCAGAGAAAGGGGTTTATTAGTACGACTTCCAGTCAGTGGCCTAAATCTCGGGAGCTTCCTTCAATCATGTGCACTGACTGGTGATCCCTCTGATTCTCTTTCCCCATCTGGTGAGGGCAGGCTAGGCATTGCCAGCCTCTAGCCCCTGAAGGAGGCACCCTTTAGGTTTTGCCCAGCACTGGGTACCTGCCCTGGCAAATGGTAGGGATTCTGAGCGGTCTGTGTTCTGGGGAAGTCCATGGCTCCTACCCGAGCTCCATTTCTAGGGATGCAGAACTGGGCTGCAGGTCCAAGGGGCCATTCCACATTTCACAGCATTGTTCTGCTTAATTAGGAGCTAATGTTTACAGTGTGATGGAGCTGTTAGCAACTATTTTATTTTCTTGAAAATAGCTCTCATACTGAATGTAACTCTATTTGGGAAGAAGAAAATGAAGCCTCATGGAATTTTTGTAAATTAAATGTCCTCTTTCTTCATGAAACACCCCAAGAACACAGTTTCTACTTGACATTTTACCACCACTGTTTGCTATTATTTCTTTAATGCTTCAGTCCCTTTAATGTCTGGTTTTCATTTTGCTTTGTTTTTGTTTTATTTTACTGTTTGTGTGTGTGTGTGTGTACCGTCAAATTGGATCTGACCGGTACAGAAGGAGATTGCCCCTCCTTCTCCAGTAGAGCATCTGGTGGATTCGAACCACATACTTCTGGAATTACAGTTCAGCTTCTTGCCACTAGGCCACCAGAGTTCCCCTAATGTCTGGTTTTGTTGGGTTGTTTCTTGTTTTTGTATTTTTGTTTTGTTTTGTTTTCATCTATGAGCCATAAACTTATATTTAATCATATAGCTTTAATAATGACAGTGTCAAGTGACCAACAGTTTCATTTCTTTTTACATAGAATCAACATACTGAGTAAAATTCCTGCTTAAGTGTTTTAAATTACACATTTTCTTTAGGTAAGATGGCATAGAATGTTTTAGAATTGTCTTTCCTGAAGGTAGTTTAAGTGTAAATAACTTTACAAATGTTTCTTTCCCACCAGGATTTACTGACGAGACACAAGTTGCTCAGCGCAGAATTTCTGGAGCAGCATTATGATAGAGTAAGTACATGAAAAAGGTCCAAAACAGTGTGTACTTTCTGTTACTGGAAACGATTTGTTAATTGCATCCCATAGTAGAACATTTCTTTTGCATACACAGTGTTTTTAAATGCTGCTGGAGTTGTTTTCCTACTGAAATGGCATTCGGTAGCGGTAAGTCCGAGGTGGAGTTTGATCTGCGAGATTGCCACACTGCCCTTGGCACCTAGTCTTACTATAGCAGACGCGACAGGCATTTTTACTGCTGGCTGGCATTACTGTAAAGATAAAAGGAATGGAATTCTCTGGCATTGCACTTCCTGCCGCTCACAGTGGGAGGCAGAGCTGAGGGCTGGGAATCTAGATGAGAGGGGGCAAGATTCCCAGTCCTGTTTCTGCTCGCGGCTCACTCGTTGTGGCTGTGACCACCTGGGTGGGGACCTGGAAGTCAGTCCTTGCTTATAAGGTGGAGGAGCGGACTAGCTCATGGAAAGAGCCCAGCCGGCACTGGCTCGATGCTAGACTCCCTGGTGCTGGTGTCCAGGGAAGCTCCCTGGTGGTGGTGCCCAGGGAGGCATCAGTGACCCGCAGTCAGGGTGGTTGGTTGCCTTTGATCCTCACAAGAACTAACCCTTAGGACGAGTGTCCGATCAGGTTCTCCTCACGCACGGGCAGCCAGCCTGTGTCTCCACACTGCCGAGGAGGTCCACATGGCTGTTGTGCCGTGGTAATTTAACTTACAGGTTGGCCACGAATTAGTAGATGCTGTGAGAGAACGTATGATAAAAACTCACCGAAAATGCTATTTATCTCCTAAAATTTGACCTAGGTTCTAATTCTTTCACTATTTAAATTTCTGAAATCTGAAGTATTGATAACACTTTATTCTTCACTTTGCTATTCAGTGACATCATAAAGTTCTTGGTGGCAAAATCTGTGCTTTAGATTTTATTGGAAGCTGCCACGCTTCCAATAATGACAGAACACATTGTTTCCACAGTGCCACCGAGTCTTGGGCAAAAGGTAGGGGTTCAAGTAATTTAAACAAAGCCCAGAGTGAGATCCTACCCAAAGTGGCCGCCTTTCTCTCTGTTGTTGAGAACCTACACAGTGTACCGCCCACCCGTGCAGCAGTTCCTACGTGCACGCCCAGCGCAGTGACTGTGTTGACCCTCTCTTTTTTCTGAAGCATTTCTTCCCCTTAACATAAATGTAACTGGTGAGACTTTGAAGTTGCTCTTGTCAATGTTATCCCCTAGAAACAGTTTTTAAAGGAGCAGAGTGCTCAAGCCAGGCATTCTTTAATAGAAAAGCTAAACCATTGGTTTTGGGGTTCCTGCCCCCCTTTCTTTTATTGACATTAGGTTTCATACAGTCATTCCCATATGTTGTGTTTTATAAAATTAGTCACCAGTGGGCAGTACCTACCATTACCTGGTCTTTTCAGGTCCCTGCCGGATCTTCCCCATTTCCCTCACCCCCTCCCTCTATCCTGTGATTTTGCCCCTACCCATCCTCACCCCTCTGCTCCCACTCCTTCCCCTCTCGGATCCCCATACACATTTTACTGGTTATCTACAATAATGGTCTTGTGCAGTATTTGTCCTTATGAGACTGAGTTAGTTCACTCAGCATAGTGCTGCTTTCTAGTCTCTATTAAGTTATGTAGTATTTTTTTAAATCGTTGCTCTAAACCATTGGTTTTAAAAAGACTTGAGATATTTTTTATTCCATTCGAATTTGACATTCTACATTTTACCCCTTTTGATTATTGGTCCTTCTGTAGAATCTTTGATCAGAATAGTCTATAGCCAGGCACCGTCTAGTTTTTTTGGCAAAGGAAGCAGTTGTTTATGAGGCTTTGAGCTTTCTAACAGCCAAAGCATAGAAGGAAACAAAATCAATGCACAAATCATAATACCTAAAAAATAAACTTATGCTAGTTGCTAAAAAGAAGAGCATCTTTTCTAACTCTGAGATGAGAACGATTTCTCCCATTGGTGTTCTTGAAGGAGAATGGTACCGCAGTGCGCGGTGCTGAGCTCACCACCGTCCAGGGAGCGCGGCGCTGAACGAAAGTGTCCTCTCCCCGGCCCAGCTCTGAGTCTGCAGGCTCACTGCTGCCCTCTGCCGTCCTCTCGGCCTAACGCAGGGCGCGACCTCCCCTGCTGCAGTGCTCTGACAGGGACGCCTAACACCAAGCTTGTCCTCAGAATTATGCTGCAGAAAATGCATTTTCTGCCAAGAACTTGAGGTGCAAATATCCTGGCTTATTGATTAGAATCAGATGTTTTGATCATCGTTGGATAACCACTTGAGGAGCAGCAGGGGATAGCTGACATTTCTGAAAACCCTAAGGGGTCCACCCACTTGCTGCCTAAGACCCCACCTGTCTTGAGGTGAACAAAGAAACAGCCTGCTAGCAGGTCCTACGCTGTGGGCGGGAACACACACAGACGTTCTTGTACGAAGAGCCAGATGGCAAATACTTGGCAGCTCTTCTGACCCAAAAGCAGCCGTAGAGAATTCACCAGTGAGTGTGGCTGAGTTCCAGTAAAGCCCATGTACAAAGACGACAGGCTGGATTGGCCACGCCTGTTCTCAAGCACAGATGACTGGCTGACGAGGCCCCGTGACAGGGCACCCAGAAGGCAGCCCACTGCCGCTGAGTCCCTGCCGACAGAAAACTGTCCACGGAGCTCCAGGGCAGAGGTCTGCACAGATGCAGACTGCTGCGTCGCGCCCCCACAGAGGGCCTGAACTGCCCGCCGTTCGGATAGCAGCGCCCTACCACAGTTCCTCTGAAAGTGTGTTGGGGGCGCGGTGTGCTGCTGAGCCCTGACTCATGGCTGACCAGCGGGTTTTCAGTGGCTGTAAGCCACACGGGAGGACACTCCCCGATAAGCACAGGTGATTGTAGCGTGGAGACGCCGAGCAGGCATCCTCGGAGGCATCAGCGGGGATGGGAAAGTGTCGGTGAACCGTCAGGAGCCTGGCTCAGTGCCGAGCCGAGACCTCCACCCTCCCGTTGTCTGCTTTCTCCCCCTGCTCACACCCACGCGGCCCTCACCTCCCGCCTGTTCCTCCCCTGACCGTTCAGGGCCCCTGTGACTCTGCTGGACACCTGGCTGTCCTCACACCACGTCGTTTCTCACTCTCCGGTCCTCACTCATCTGTGTCCTATCCTTTTGCTCCCCAAGTTTGTTTTCTCTCCCCTTTCTAATCTTAACTCCCTCCCATCCTTGTAGTTTGAACCTCAGCCTTCCCTCCTAGGGCGTCCAACAATTAGCACAGGGCTGGGCTTTTCCACTCGGAACCTCTTTTTAATGACTTTCTCTCCCTGTTTGATACATAGAAAGAACAGAGAACTTGTCACTGAAGTATATCAGTATACTCCGCATTCATGATGTTTTCAGCTGTAAAAGCTGTTTTGTAGAAAATGTCTAAGAACTGAGAGCAGAAAGGAGAAAGAAAGTTGTTCCCTCTGTATGGAGCTTGGGGTGATGGGGAGAGACCAGGCATGAACTACAGGTGGACTTGCCTAGGGCTGGGAGGCGGGCTCTTCACAGGATGAACGGGATGTCCTGGAAAAGGGACCGTCCCTCTTGAGCATGTCAGAAGAGGGTGGGAGAGAGGCAGGGGCGACGTCGGGGAGGCTGGTGCTCTGTGGTGTTAGACGTTTGCTCTCACAGCTGGCAGAATAAGGATTCTACCCTCCTTGTGTAAAGTAACCCTGAGATGTGTGTCCTTGTCTCTTAGTTCTTCAGTGAATATGAGAAGCTGCTTCATTCAGAAAATTATGTGACAAAAAGACAGTCACTCAAGGTAAGGCTGTGTGTTTGATAGGATTTCTTTCTGTTCCCTCTGTGTTCAGACCTCTGAAGTTGGGAGAAAGGGGGACCTTGTGGTACAAGATGTGTAGTTGGGTGAGGCGGATCTGCAGGCTGGGTAGCCCAGGACCAATGTCAGCATAAGAAAATCTGTTCTATTGGCAGAAACTGTTCAGTTGTTCAGCAGCCTTTGACCCTGTTCTGGCCCCTGTGCTGCTTCACTCAGGCAGGAGAGCCCACCTCTTGCCGCTTCACAGTCCCAGCAGGTAACAGGAGAGCGACCACCACTTGTCAGCCCTCACAAGCCTGCATGCGGCCATCATGACAGCAGGTGGTTGTGTCAGTGGGCCGCGGACTGCCGCCGAGGGGCCTGCAGGACTGTAGACCACCAGAACCTGGGTCTCCACAGTTGCATCAGTATTTATGTCATGCTAAGTTTATTTCATCAGGAAACTTACCTTTCCTGTGTAAGGCTTCACGTCTCCCGGGCTCCAGAAAGCATTGACCACTCCGTGTAGTGCTGACCACGAAAGGGAAGAGGGCACCACATAGCAAGTGGGCACCGCAGCCTTCAGCTCGTCATTCAGCCCGTTCCTCCGTCCTGCGAGTGCTTATTAATGGCTTGTGCTTAGTAACGATTAGAAAAGTAATTGTTTTAAAACTTTGGCTCCTCTTCAGTATAAGAGTAACCGTCTAAATGTCTTCCCAGCTTCTCGGTGAGCTCCTGTTAGACAGACACAACTTCACCATCATGACCAAGTACATCAGCAAACCCGAGAACCTCAAGTTGATGATGAACCTTCTGCGAGACAAAAGCCGCAACATCCAGTTCGAGGCCTTCCACGTTTTCAAGGTAGAGCTCGACCCGCTCCGCGTCGTCCTCCGGAATCATTCGTCTCCTCTCACTGATGTGGGGCTGGAATCTCTCAGCCACATTTAGAGAATCCAGAAAGTTCATTCCATCCCGTTCCATTTCCCTGTTTGCGGTACAGCGCTTCAACAGAGAACCCAAGTAGTGGGTGTCCCTATTTAGATTTGGAGGCAGCAACGGCTTTCTAACACACAGCTGTCACTTTCTGGGGCACGTGAGGTATGGAGTCCGCGCCGACTCTCAGCAACCCCATCTGAGGACGGTGGAGAGAAGCTGCCCAGCCTGCACTGTCCTCGCCTACATGGCTGTACCTGAGCCTGTTGTGCGCACACTCTCCTCGAAGGGCTTCCTCTTCTCATTGAGCCTTCACTTGGGCAAACATGATGTCCTCCTCCAGGGACTGGTCCCTTCTTAGATCATGAGCGAAGTGTGTGAGACAAAGTAGACTGTTAATCACAAAATGAAAGAGAATCCGCTTCCTGGTGCCTTCCATGAGCTCTGGTGGCCTAGTGGTAAGACACTGCGCTGCAGTCCTAAAGGCACGCGGTGTGAACCCACCAGAAGTTCCACAGAAGAAGGATGGGCAGTCTCCTACTAGGTGATTTACTGCCTCTGAAAACCCACTGGAGGGGCAGCTGTGGGTCTGTTCCGACTGAGGGCATAGAGCAGCAATGCTCTCCGTGGGGTTTTTATTCTAAAGTCAGCCCACATTTCGGGGTGGGCCCAATGAGATGGTCTGTCTTTTCTGTGCTGAAGCATCATAGAATTACTCTGATTTCCTATCCAAATATCAGTGTTGAGTTTCCTGCCGGAGACCTCTGAACTCCTTGCCCTGACCCCACATGTCCCCACGTCCCGCAGGGTTGGCCCCTGCTGGGTCTGCACTGCTCACTGCCGCTGTTCGTGCTGCCCTGGGCCTGGCTCCCTCGCGGGGCACTCACGGTGTCTTTTCTCCCCACAGGTGTTTGTAGCCAATCCCAACAAGACTCAGCCCATCCTGGATATCCTCCTCAAGAACCAGACGAAACTGATAGAATTCCTCAGCAAGTTCCAGAATGACAGGACCGAGGACGAACAGTTTAATGATGAGAAGACCTATCTAGTTAAACAGATCAGGGATTTGAAGAGACCAGCCCAGCAAGAAGCCTAATTCCCAATAAACATCTCAAATATTAAATCCAAATTCAGCATTTGCTGTTAGCTCCTCAGCATCAGGCTCTCTTACCGACTCATGAGGAACATTACTGCTAGTCTGCTGTTAAGTGAACGGTTTCTCGTTTTACCTTTTTTGGGGTTTTTTTGGTTTCTTTTTTTAGTCCCAGTTGGAGAGCGTAGCTGCTGCTTCTTGCCCCCTCTAGCACACGTGGACTTTTCCTGATCTCTGCGTCGTTTCAGAATGCAGAGACTGTTTGCTGTAGGAGTTCTGAACACGGCTAGGTTCCTGAGACGAAGGTCTAGATCGTAGCGTGGTTTAGGGGATATGAGGGGCTGAACCAATGGGCCGTGAACAGTGTGGCCTCGAACACCCGGCATTCTCGATCAAACTGTCCACCTCCGTGGGAGAGTGGACAGGCCTTTATTGGGGGGGGGGGCGGTGAATTGACCTGCAAAGAAATTGATGCTGAACTTAGCAACTTTGCAGAAGTGAAGCTTCATACGGTCGGTCGTAAGGAAAATGTATATATGCTTTTCACAGCTTTCTAGAATTTTTTGACATTTGATTTTCTTGAGACTTGACTTGTAAACTTGGAGATGTGGAAGGGTATTTGTTAATTTTACTTTAAAGATATTTTAAAACGGTAGAGCTAGCAACATCACCTCGCATTTCATTTCAGCAAAGCCGCCAGGTTTCTTTTGTATATAATTCTTAGAATGCTCATTTCTTTTAAATGATTTAATTTGTACAGCAGAGGAATGTTATTGTATTAGTATGTAACTATTACCTAATATTGAGTTTTTGCAAAAAAGAAAAACAAAACAAATGAATGCTCATATGTAATTGAAATACTTCAGATCACATGAAATGCTGATTTAACATTTTAAGTATCACAGCATTAAAAGGAAAAAAAAAACAACAAACCCACAAAAGAACCAGAACCTCTGTATTTAGTTCTCTCATGGGGCGCCATCAGCAGGCTTAGCTGTGGACCCAGAGCCAGACGGCTCCACTCCCCAGACCGTCGGCCTTACTCCTGGCACCAAGTCAGGAGTGTGCTGCATCAGTTGCCCGCCCAGGGAGGCCACCGCGGCCTCCACGTGGACAGACCATGGGGCTCCTCCCTCCTAGATGCTGTGATCCAGCACAGTAGCTGTAAAACAGAGTACAGCCGCGACCTCCTTAGAAAGAGCTTTTCCAGCCACAGGTGTCCTAGGGGGATTTTTTTTAAATATATATCTATATATCCTGTTCCTTAATGCTGCAAACTATCAGTATTTCTAAAGTCACTGATTTGGCACAACTTTCTGTTCCTGGGCCGCAGCAGAGCGGTGCCGTCTCTCCGGAACACCTCCGTGTAGGTTCCCGGATGGTGTCTTCATTCTAGCCAGCTGGTGCACAGCTAACACCTTTGCAGTCAGGGTTTGCCAGCTCCTTGCAGCATGGCCAGAGCCAATTAAGACATTTCTATAAGTATCCTTTGCTAGCCTCTTACTAATTGAATTATTTACCAGCCAGTAAAATGGACTCCCAGTTAATCTATCCACAGATTTTGAAACCTCCTTCAACGAACACTAGTTAAGAAAATAGCTCAGTGCAGGGGGATTGGGTCCTGGGTGACCCTGCCACAGTCTGCCCTGTGATTGGTTTTCTGAGGAGTCTGCAAAAGTCCGTGTCAAGTAATTCCATGTCTTCTCTATTGGAAGTAGGGAAACCCATTTACTCTAGAAAACATCTGAAGGGTTTTGAAAGACAGGCCTGGCCGTGGGGTCACGTTCTGGTGCTGTGGGCTGTGTGTTGAGATCTCGTGAGGGTAACTACATCAGGTGGGGGCCTGCTCCCTGGCCCAGCTCGTTCTCAGGCGAGGAAGCGGCAGGACAGCGTCCCTCCGGGCCCCAGGTCCAGCCTCTGTGTGGTTGCTGGGACACAGGAGGGCAGTGTGTCAAAGACGGCCCCTGGGACAGTGACTTTGGAATCAGACACTTTGAGCCTTTGGTTTGTAATGAAAACATTGGATGTGGAAAAGCTGTGTGTGAGGTTACGTTTAATATATTCGTATTACCAGAACCAGTACCTTGCAGTGGTTTCTTGGCGTGTAACAAAGGTTTCGTTTTCCCCGAGGTAGTTATTTAATGTGGTTTTTAGCCCTTAGGAAGAAGAGGGTGGAGATGTATACAGCTGTAACAATGCCGTGAAAACATTTCATTTCTCCTGAGGAAAAGTTAATCTCCTACCAGACAAATCTGCCTGGCCCTGTCATTGAAAGGAAAATAAAATTTTGGAGAAGCAGCTCTGGCCCTGTTTCTGGTGTCCCACAGCAGGTGTGTTTGGTCAGCGAGGAGAACGCCCCCTGGAGATGGTCCCTGTGTGGCTGTCAGGGGTCTCCTGCTCACTTCTCTTCCCGTTGGGCCCTCACACTTCTGTCCCCCCCTCACAGCACGTGCGTCACACCTCTCCACAGCATCACGCTGCAGACCTCACGCCAGGGTCTGCTGCTTTCTCCGGTTCTGATTACGGACAGGAGTGTGTAAATTCATCAGCCCAGTCACTGTTGAGGGGGAGCCAGCTCCTGTTGACCACAAGGGGCTCACAGAACTGTCTACCCTGCTGTTGCCTGTGGGCCATTTCTCCAAAGGAGATTTTTCTGGTCTGTCTTCCAAGTGGTCAAAGTCATTAGCCATTTGTACCAACCCGGGATTCCAACTGGTACCCTGGACGGAGCAGAGCTGGTTTTTTTCCAAGGCTGTAAATCTTGACAAAAGCAGGGCTCCCTTCCAGCTATGTACAATCCCTAAAATTTGAGGAGGGGTCTGAAGGTTTCAGACTTTGAAGGCACCCGGTTACCAGTGCCCTGTCACCCGGCCATTTGCTCACTAGACCTCTGGGGCCTTCTTTGCCCCCTTGTGGTCCTCTCAACAGATGGGTGACCGCCAGGCCTCTCAGCAGGATGCGTGTCCTCGGGGAATCAGTCCTAGCTTTGCTCCGCAGGGACAGACATTGGGACAGAACTTCTATAGATGAGCGATCTTTGGTAAAAGTAAAAAATAGCCTGCCTGGTTTTTTGTTAAGAACATACACAGCCAAACATCAACCAGTTCACCATTTCTTTTTATTTTTTTTATTATTAATTTTAATGAATGTTTACAGAGACTTGGGGTTTCCAGTCATTCATTGATTGTTGTTCTTTTCTCCCTGCCCCCCCCCCCAGTTCACTCTTCTCTTTGAAAAGTAAGACTCTTTCACTGTTATACAATGCCTTCCCCCTCCCCAGGTCCACTCCACTATGCAGGCTTCGTTCTAGGTTCCCGTCATGACAGTAATACCTAATCATATATCCCTTTTAAATAGTTCCCTCCCTCATCTGTTTCAATGCAGTATACATAATTTATCCCATCTTTCTCAGTCTGCCCTCAATCCCTATGTCATTCCTGTTCTACAACAATGACATTATGCGGTATTTGTCCTTTTGTGACTGAGATACTTCAGTCAGCATAATGTCCTCCAGGGTCACCCGTTTTCTATTTCATGGGTTGTTTTTCACTATTTCATTATCTATAAAGCACTGAAAATTCGGAGTAGGAGGAAGTCCCACTTCCCTTTGGTAGCTAGCAAAGATCATAGCTTAGCAAGCGTCTTAGTCCTCACTGTTTACAAAGGACACAGCCATAGCCAGTTAGCTGACGCAGAAATGTTAAAATAAGTCACGTGGCTGTGGCCACAGAAAAGCAGCGTGAGTACACGAAGCCCAGACCACGCCCCCCGCTCTGGTCAGCGCTGGCTCCCGGGGCCCGGATGGGTCAGAACTGTGGCCCACGGGGCTTTATGCGCTGCAGAGCGTCCACCGGCCGACAGCTCGGTGACACTGACTTCACCGTGTGCAGCCGTCCTCACCCTCCTGGCCGCTGCTTGTTTTCGTAGGCCCACACCCGCTCGGCTCTCTGAACTTCACGTTGTCAACTTGATTCTCTCTAGATCTTAAAAGATCACGGTGCTTGAGGCAGGTGTTTTTACTAAATAAGCTACACCACTGTTGGGCTTTTAAAGTCTGAGGGCATTTTTTTGGTCATCAAATTTAAAGATTATCTCAGGGCAACAGTTTGAGGGGTGAAGGTTTATGTGACTAAGTCCATGAGAATTTGAAGTTCTGCATGTCTCTCCACTTCGGTCAGGATTCTTCATTAATCTTAACTCAAAATATAATGGTGACTGGGTACCATCCAGTTCTGGCCTCAGGACTGAGGGATGGTTGTTCTTGGAAGCCATCCACCACACATCTGATTCTCCCTCTGGCCTCCCCTGTGGAGGCTCCTCCAGGCCAGTGGAACCCGCTGTGGTACTTTACGTGCAAGTTTCTAAGACTCTAGACACTGCAAGATGAACTGAGAGCAGGAACACTAAACATTGGCCAGCTAACAGGGACATCACGAGAAATCATGACCCTGCTGGTGGCACCGGGCTCTGCCCCTTCCTGGTCTTCCCATTCTGCAGCCCCGCTCCTGCTGTTAACGCCCGCGTAGCTGGCCTCCATTCAGAGCCCATCCATGGCCACCTGTGGTCAGCCAGGTGTGCTGCCGTGCCCCCAAAAGGGAGGGCAGCGCCTGCCCTTCCACAGCCTGTGGCCACCGTGTCCATGTGGCAGCAGATACCTGTTCCAGCACAGCTGGCCTGCAGCTGTCTGCAAGATCTGGGAACCACATGGAGCACCCTGCGGCCAGCCCTTGAAGTCCTGAGACACATGGAGCGCCCTGCGGCCAGCCCTTGAAGTCCTGAGACACATGGAGCGCCCTGCGGCCAGCCCTTGAAGTCCTGAGACACATGGAGCGCCCTGCGGCCAGCCCTTGAAGTCCTGAGACACTGCAGGGTCCCCAGAAATGCCACTGATCCCCCTCCTGTGCTGCTGCAACTTTTAGAGTTGTGCGTATTGTTAGCAGCTGTCGTTGAAGGGCTTCCCCAGCCCTAGGTGACCCTTGTAATCCAGAGTATTTTCTGTAGTTAATTTTTAAGAATTTAAATCAGCCTTTGTCGTCTATTTTGATTATCCATATAAGTACAAAAAGACCTATTATAATATCACTATTACTCACATATATGGACCAACAATAAAACCAAAGAAGAGAAAATTGAAGATTTCTACCAGCTTTTGAAGTTTAAGATTGACCAAACATGCAATCAAGATGCATTAAGAAGAATCAATCACTGGGATGCAAACGTTGGAATCAATGAAGAAGGAAAGGTAGCCAGAGAGTGCATACTTGGTGACTGATTGAATTTTATACGTTCAATGATTTAGTCATCACATACCTTTTAAAAATAATTATTAATTTTAATGAA